GTTTTTGCCGTTAGAAAGAGGCCTATCCAGCGCATCGATTCATATAAAATTGTGAGAATTTATTTCATAAATAAGTAGTGATCTATGGTCATTTTGGAAGAATAGACTGTTGTTCTATGAAGATAAAACAAATCTTAAACTTTAAAGAGTAGGTTAGAATCGCCAGCTCACGAGCTACAAAACTATATCTATGTCTTGATTCAAAGCTTTACTGATTTGGGACTTTTAGGTATTATATTCGACAATCCCAGCCCCTTTTACCAGATATTTCTGTAAAAAACTCAGTTTTTTTAGTTTTTTTCTGGAAAAATCAGAACTGTTTTTAGGGCATTTCTTTGTTCAGTTATTGCAAAAAGTTTCAAAACTTCAAGTTAAAAGTCATTGTCTTATATGGTTCGATGCGTTTTCATCTGCTTTTTCCAACGGTCAAAACCGCAGCTCTCTACTATTTTTCTATCAAAAGTTATTCAAAAAATAGCCACCCGCCTTCTTTTTTGAAATGGGCAGTAGTTGCAAAATGTTTAATTATTTTTATCTTACCTTTTTTTCATATTGTACAGCAATTTCTTCTTTTAATAATTGCATTTCTTGTTCATTTTGTGTTCTTAATTGTTGTAATTCTTGTAAAAGTCTAGCATCATATTGTTGACGTAAACCATCATCATGAAGAGTTTCAACACGTTGTTGTTCTTTAATTTGATAGATTTTCTAAAAATATATTTCTAATTAAATAGATTTTAATAAGAAAATATTTTTAATCTACTGTTTCATAAACATGTTGATTAAATTGTAATTCTTCACGTAAAGTTTTATTTTTATTTTCAAGATCAACACGTAATAATGTTTCAGATTCAAGTTGACGTTTTAATGCTGATACTTGTTTTTCAAGATCATGATTAAATTTGTGAAGTGTCTATGAAAATAAAAAAAAAAAGAGATTTGTAAATTAAAATTAAAAATCTGTTTTTTTTTTTTAAACCTCATTCTCTTCAATTTTACGTGATGCATCCAATGTAATTGCATCACAACGTGTTTTTAATTCAGCTAGTTCATTTTCACATTGTTTTAAACGTGATTCATATATACGTGCATCACGATCATTACGAGCAGCTCTAAAACATAAGAAACAAAAATCTTTATAGGAAATTTTTCATTGTTTTCTATACTTTGCTTGTATATCTAAATTTTCACAGCGACTTTTTTCGAGTTCAATTTCGAGACGTGATTTTTCATGAGCTAATTCTTCAATTAATTGTTTTGCATCATCTAAACTCAGGAGACACAAAAAAAAAAAAAAAAAAGAACATTGAATTTTTTTCTTTTTACTTTATTCAGTAAAATATACCTAATTCATTTTCATATAAAGTCTTAACTTTTGATGTTTCTAATTCGAATGATTGGGCATTTGTTTTAACAATATTCTAAAAATAATGAGATGTCAGTTTTTTTTTCTTCTTTTTACAGATTAAATAATTTACTCGTAATTTTTCATTATCTTGTTCAAGTCGTCGAACTGTATCAATAATAACTGCTAGACGATCATTAAGTGTTTGTAATTCTTGTTTTTCTTGTTGTCGAGTTATATTAAGTGTTGGTGATGTATTGAATGATGATGATGATGATGTCATTGAAAGACCAGATAGTGTACGATGTTTTATTCCATTACTATTAACAGTTAATGTATTAGTTCCATTTGTTGGTGCTGTTGGTGTTATGAAACCAGTAGAGTTATTATTTTCAATGTGTGTTTTACGTTCATTGGTATCATCAGGAGAATTTTCTTTAACATTCGATTCAGAACGTGATGTTGATGCGGCACGACGTCGAAATGCCGCAAACATTGAAAGTTTTAGGGAATAAATGAATAATTAAGGCAAAAATTAATCTGAAATTAGAATGTTTTAGCTAAGGAAAGAAATGATTATTGTCAAAAAAAAAACAGCGTTTTTAACATTCATTAGACGTATTAGAAATTTATTTTTGAGCATTTCATTCGGTAAGATATAATAAAAATCATTTCGTATAGGAGGATGAACGTCGTTATCAGCGCTCATTCCCTAAACCGCCACTTTTAAAAACATACAAAGAACATGTCTTGAAAAAGAATAACATTCTGATAGGTTGCTTTATTCGATGAGACTTATACATTAGAACTAGATGAAAAATGATTATTCATTTAGAAAAAATTAACAAGTACGAAGAGAGATTCATTAAATTTTCTTTAATTTTGTATGAAAACAAAATTGGTATGTATGCGACATCTATCGAATTGAAGACCTATATAGCAGCTACAAAAGTCATGAAAAATTATTGTGAGGAAAAAAAAAGATTTCGAAATTCTCATACTGCAACAAACTTCTTTGAGGAGAATAATAAAAAAAAAATCTGATTGAGTATGTATTTATTCGTTGAGCTTCATTGTTGAAAAGGTATCTACCAAAAATCTATCCAGCATAAATAGACGGCACGGTCATATACAAATACAACGATATACATGGTTTATTATAAAGATCGTATATCTCCATATTGTGTACGAAGAAATATGATGTTTTGCAAAGAAAAACAAACGCTTGTTGACTTTTTTCGTACGTGGACGCGATAGTGAAGATATAAGATCGTAATATTAAGCTATATAGTTTGGTAAAATACGGTCATTTACAGACATATATGGATTTCGCATTCATCGACCCTAACAGTCGAAACATAAGGATCTCTCTCACTGGACAAGTTTTCGTCTTGCATTTAAAATGTAGAGTTATTCATACATATATAGTTGTCTTATTATTTCCAGAAATGCGAAATACTATTCATAGGAATTAGAAATCCATTTGTTGATACCGTGAAATTTCTATAAATGAACACTCCTCATAATAATAAACATAATCGAAGCAAAGGAAATGATACAAAAAAAAATTCTTTTGTAGCCATGACACAACAATCACATAATAGAGTATAATATTGATTGATGCTTGTATAATGATTCAAAGCAAAAAAGGAATACATAGAAGTAGATAAATTCTTTAATTAGCGTTTATCGTACGTAATAATTCAGAACATTAAGATTACGTCTATTTTATGGCCATCTATGGTTGCCTATAAAATGCATAACATTTTCTTCATACCATGCCGATGATTGCAATTGCGTGTGTTGCCTTGTTGACAGATGGAATCTGTCATGTTCAAAATTTTCTAATTGAATTCGGTTAGTAGCACCGAAGATACACGATACTTTTTTTCCGTTTTTTTTTGGTATTCGTTGACTAGAGCATCTTACAGATTTCTCAAACAGCTAGAGTTCATCAGGTCAAAACTTCTGGAGCTCGGACCCAACTCAATAGACTCTATTGACAGGTAGAATCGTCGTCTAGGAGCCGTTTACTTTTAGATTGTGCTTGTGGAAAAACAACGTCAATATGATTTTCATGTGACGATGTTTTACCAGATTTCAATATAGTGGGGAAACATAAGATCTGTTTAAACTAAAATCGGTGGAGATATTGAAGACACGAATTTTTCTTCCGTTTGTGTCTGTACAACGAGTAAAAATGTGATGATAAAATATGTAAACAAAGAGTTATTGAAGAAACGTAATGCTGCACTATTCTTTCCAAGTGATTGTATCACATGAAGAACTTTTTGTCACTATCTATCTATGTTCTTCAATCGTATTGACGAGTTTGAATCGAACAAAATGCATAAAAAATCAATTCAATGCTGTTTATTACATTATATTCATTCAATTTCTCTTCATGGTGATTAGTTTACAAGTATCTTATGTTGCGAAAATCTTTAGACTGGGTATGATAAGTAATATATTGAAAAGATCGTTAAGATCGAACGAATAATGAAAAATCAGTTCTCTAGAACATTCAATTTTTTGGTAAAAAAAAAAACATTAAGAAATTTATCATGATCTAAAGAGAGATTTCCTATAAGCTTTGTTATTTTTGCAGATGTTTACATTTATGATCGTATAGGCACATGGTAAGGCAGCATCTAAGTGTCACAAATGAGAAAGACTTTTGAAATGATCTTCATTACAGAAAACAAACACAATGAAAAATGAAATATTTTTCATCGGAGTTAATTTTGAATTCTTATACCATATCTGATGATTCAATGAAATGTAATAAAATATTTAAAGTTAAAAAATGTTAATATCTCGTTGAGATTAAGCACAGCTTAAATTCCTTAGTGAGAAACAGATATATCTTTCAACTTCGTGAGATAATCAAAAGAAAAGTTTCTTTCAAACTAAATATTCTTTACTGGTAAACGAAGATAGAGTCTCTACTAAGCAAGAAACTTCAGAAAGTCAAAAACTTGATGACTTTCTTTTAATCAAACTTTCCATATAATATTCTTTTTTATTGTTAAATAATAGTTATGATAAACATCTCGAGAAAGTTTAGAAAAAAGTGTTATCAGTTCAATCTCGATATTTAAAGATCACTAGATACTTATCTAGTCTTAAACGTGCGTTATGCTGTTGCGCCATTTCGTTCCTCACTCCTCTCTAAAATTGACAAATATTAATTATGAATGCTTTTTAACAATTTTACTAATAAAGAACGCTATAGAAATATAAAAGAAGGCTTGTTCCATGATTTTAATCTCCTTCATATCTCTTATCACAAATTCTTACATAATATTATTTTGCATGACCAAATTGTTTTTCTTCTTTATTTTGGCGCCTTATTGGCGATGTTAAACTTTGTTTTGTTAGAAAACTAAATATACATTTGATTAACTTTATATATAAAGAAAATATTAGCGACATATCTTTGCCTGTTGAACATTGTTAGGACCAATTTTATTTATTTTGCAGTTCATTTTCTGTCACGTAGTGATTAAGACTCACCCCATGATGTTTCTATTTCACTGTATCTTCTTCTCTTTTCTGTCAGTTGAATTTTTCTTTGCGCTCTTGTCCCGCTTGTTGGTCTTTTTAAGTCTTGTTCATCATCTTTTCTTCGATCTTCAGAGCTAACTATCTATGTGGTTTACACACTTTTTGCATTTGTACTTCTATTTTTTCTCTTCTTGTATATCTTAAGAAAAGATTTCGATAGTATCTAATGCGTAAAATTAGTTGCAGATTGACAGTTTACGACACTCGTATCGTGTAACATGCACTGACAGAGCAACGTAGTTTATCTATATCTGTAGAACTCTACTTCTACCTTTAGTTTAATTGGCAAAAAGACACCAATAAACTACATTTCTCTACAAGTTTGACACGTCATTTTGTCGATTTTTATTTAACAGTATACTCTTACAAAGAAAAATTATACGATGTCTAGTTTTTGAATCTCATTCGTAATTTATTTTTTATTTTTTCAATATTGTCTTTGCATTGTTCAAGATGAAGATGATTTAAAGAAGGCGAATATTGTGCAATATCAAGAGAAGATTTATTAAATAAATCTGCTTTGGAAGAATCACCCATTTGATCATAGATATCCCGAATATTATTGTAAGAAAAAACTAAATCAGGATGATTTTGGGGAAGATTTTTTCGATAGATTCCAAATGCTTCTTCGTAATATGAAAGTGATGCAAAATACTCGCCCATCTGCAAATATACAGAGCCAATATTATTGTAAGCAGTGGCTAAATCAAGATGATTCAAAGGATCAATGTTTTGGTAGGTTTCCAATGCTTTTTCATAATATAAAAGTGCTTTCGTATAGTTGCCCATTTTCTCATACACAATACCATGGCATGTGTAAGAAGCAGCTAATTGAGGATGACTTGATGGAAACATTTTTCGATAGATTTCATGTGCTTTTTCATAAGACGAAAGTGCTGTTAAGTAATCACCTCTTTGAAAATACACTGAGCCAATATTTTTATGACATGCAGCTACATCAAGATCATCTGAAGATAAAGTTTCTTCATAAATTTCAAGTGCTTTTTCGTAATATGCAAGCGCTATCGAAGGTTCACATAGTTTTTCGTGTAATGAGCCAATATTGTTATATGATACAGCCATATCAGGATGATTTGAAGAATGATTTATTTTGTGAATTGCAAGTGCATCTTCTGAATATGATATTGCTTTTGAATAGTCGCCCATTTTATCGTACACTGAAGCAATGCTGTGGTAGGAAGCAGCTACATCAGGATGGTTTGGAGAAAGATTATTTTTGTAAATTTCGATTATTTTTTCGTAATGTAAAAGTGATTTTGAATAATCGCCCTTCTGAAAAGACACTCTAGCGATATTCTTGTTAAAACTCGTCAAAAGTGGATCATTTTTTGGCAGATTTTTCTCATAGACTTCAAGTGCTGTTTCGAGAAATGAAAGTGCTTTCGAATATTCGCCCATCTTTTCATAGACTAAACCAATTTCATTTTTACATGCAGCCACATCAATATATTCAGGAGAAAGAATTTTGTGAAGAATTTCAAGTGATAAATGATAATATGAGTTTGCTTCCGCATATTCACCATGATGAAACTTAATTAAACCAAGTTGATAATACAGAAATCCTTTCTCAACATCACTAGATGTTTGAGTAATTACTATATCATACACTTGTTGAGCTTTATCAAATTGACCTTCTTTTATCAATAAATCACTTAATCGATACCATCCTATGCAATAAGGAATTGTCACATCTAGAAAGTGTCCAGTCAACGCCTGAAATTGTGGATCGGTGTTATTGATTAATGTTAATTCCACTTGCCAGAGACGAGTATTACTATTGTCGATTTGTTTAAGTTGATCAATATGAAACATAGAATTCATAGTAAAGATAAAATCTTCTTCCGTTGGATAGTAACTAACATCACGGATATTGACGTAAGGAGTTGAATCTACAGAAGGATCTATTGTCATTACAAATAGGATGCCTACCAAGTTGGAAGTTGCAACAGTTTGTTGTGCAAAGTTCAAAGCAACATTACGACTTTTACTCGTAAATAAAAAATTATTAAAAGATAATAGTTGATTTTGTGTTTTCTTCAATTGATCAAAATCTTTCTGAGATATTCCTTGACCACGATAAACAATAAAAGAAGTTAAGTCTTGACGAATAGTCTTTTGTTCAGAATGAAGTTGAGTAATATAATGGTGAAGATCACCTATAAAGAAAGCCATTTTAATAATAGTGACTACATCCATAGTACATAATGCATGATTGAGCATAGAATAAAGAAAACATGGATAAGTGTACCACCAGATTGGTACATTATCATGGTATTCTCGTTCAAGTTTATCAATATTTTTCAGTTCAATAACGTTGCTACCAACATTTTTACGATAATAATTAATAAACTCATTAAAATTTTGTTGTTTAAATTTTATTGTCGATACAATTACTTTCAATATTTCAATATACATAAAATTTTGATGGAATTCGTCTGAATTTTGATCCAATGTTTCATCATTCATTTCAATGAAACTTATCCGAATAGTATTTCGATCACATTCTTGAGCAGCTTGTTTAAGTGCTTCACAAAGAAATAAACCTTCCATAAAAACATCTCTGATTTTTGGCCATTTATGTATCCATAGTTCATGATCTAATTTATTTTCACAAAATATATAAATAGACTTAATCTGAGGTATATCATGAACAATAGGTATTACAGTTTGACTAAGTGATCCAGATATTATGAAGAATATTGTTTCTTCTTTAATCTCTTGAATAAAATCTAGACACTCTTCCACTCTAGTAAATGTGTTTACAGAATTGGCAATTTGTTTTAAGATTGTGATTATACGACGATAATCAGGATTGTTCACTACATCAATATTAGTATCCAGCCAGACTAATAAAAAGTTTTGAAATATTCGAGAAGTATTTTGTCCAGATGATGTTATGCTGCTATGTGAAGGTACTAACGCTGCACAAGCAGATGCTATGGTATTGGCACTTTTTGAATGAAGATGCATGTCTTTGTTCTTCTTATGATTAGCAATATTAACTATTTTGTTTTTCAATCTATGCATAATGTATATGAAATAAAATAAGGTAACCACGATTGTATGATTCTTTGAAGAAATTATACTAATAAAAGAACAAGAAAAGTAATACGAATAAAAGTTATCAACAAAAATAGTTACCTTTTATGCTAGAATATTCATTTTCTTAATAATGTTTTCTATTTTTTTATTTACTTATAGTCAAGGTTTGTCAAGTAATTAGGTAATGCATTTTTCTCGACGTATCTGAATCAATCAAACATCTATGACTCAATATGTCAAACGCACATGTTTGTTTTCTTTTATAATAAGTTCGTTTGACTAATTATTAGTAAAAAAAAATGGAGCGGAAGTAAGTGCTGTATTTAATTGAGTAAATATGCATATCGCGATATTTGAGAAAAATAAGTTCGTTGATGAAATATGAGAATAAATAAATGATAAGTCAGAAATAACAAAAGGGATAATTTTTAGTTAAAAATTTCGACTTTCGAAATTAAATATTAGAGTATTAACAAATTTTTCATTCAAAAAAAAAAAAACTAAATCTTTATTCATATTTGTGAACAATCCGATATTAAATATTGAATGGATAAAATGATCAATTATTACTATTTATTACTTTTTTAGATGTATTTTTCGGTAACTTAAAAGTAACTGTTGAAAATAATATTTTTTTATAAGCACTATTTTGAATCTTATTGAAATAATCAAATGATAGTTGTTCGATTATTACTTAAGAAGGAAATCATTGAATAAAAACGTTCCAAGCTAAATCTATTTCACAATATTTTGAATTCAATTGTAATATAGAATTTTTAGAATGCATTAAAAATAATTTTAAAGACAAGCTTGTTAACATAAACGTATTTAATAAGTTTATCAAAATTCTTCTTATGTCTCTTCAAACATTCGATTAATATCGATGTGAAATGCATTAATATATAATAAAAGAAAATGAAAGAAATCAACAATAACAAGACACGGCAAATGTTGAAACCAAAAAAAAAAAGAGTAAAAACTAGATAATCAAATGTTCATATTATTTCTTATTTTGTTGTCTTTGTTTAACAGCCCAATTATGTAAACGAGCCATATTTACTTCAGTTGTTGTAATTTGATCTCTATTATTTTTTTTTCAAAGAAAATAAAATTTTAAAATAGAAAAATATTTAATTTTATACCTTAAAAAATCAAGATCTTCATCAACTTTTTCAAGTGTTGTTTGTGCTGTTTTTTGATTTCCACGTAATAATTCTTCAGCTTCATCCAATGTATATTCAAGCATAACATTAGCACCTAACCATAGACAAACCTATAGAGAACAAACAATGCTTTCTTCACATTAATTAATTATTTCAATTCAACCTTATCTGTTGGTGGTATTGTTGCTTTACCATAAAGATTATGAGCTAGTAAAAAGTTTGTATCCATATCACTACCGTTCTCACGATATTTACGAAGTTGTTCAACCATATCTATATTAATATAAATAATTTAATAGATAAAAACAACTCTGATATACCTAAGCAAATTTGAATATCAGGTAATTTTCCTCGTAAACGTTTTTTCTTTTGTAATAAATTCATTTCCATAAAACGATATTTACTATTTAAATCATCAAGTCTATGAAAACAAAAATAAATAATTATTCTTGATTAACAAAAAAAAAAAAAAGTTTCGTTTTTCACCTTCGAATAACTGTATCAGCTGAATCATTTTCTGGTTGTTGCATAAAACTATCAACATCTTCAACAAATACAGCTTTTGGTATACCCAAATGTTCACTATCAGTACCACTTGTTATTGATGCCATAAGAGAAAATCTTGTCTAAAAATTCAATTGATATACACACAGATATACGAAAAGCTTTCAGAAATACATTGCACATATTTTTTCTTTCAAGAAAAAGATATTTACAAAAAAAAAATCACGAACGACTTTAAAAATTATATCATTCAGTCAAAGACGTGGTTGTCGGAAACTATAGAAAAAACAAAAAGAACATGCAAAAAAGTGAAAATAACATAATAAACTCATATTTACCGTATAATAATTCGCGCACGAAGAAAAAGTCGAATGAGTGCGAAGACAAAAAATGGCCAAAGTAAAATAAAGGCAACGGCGCGACGACGTAACCCAGCCAATGGTAACCATCGTGATAAAGACTGTTAGATATTATATAAAATAATAAAAATTTCAATAAAAATTTAACCTACATTTGATTTAGAAGAACGATGCAATTGTGTAGATAATTCTCTCTAAAAGAAAAATAGTTACAAAATCAATACACAGTGGATATGTTTCTATAGATCAGATGGATATGCGATTTTTTTTACTTTGATAAAGACCTTATTTTCTGCTCCATATTGTTTTATTATCTCTCAAATGTTCATATCATTTGAAAATAGTTCAAGTATATCTTACTGAACTCGTGTTTCCGTAAAAACACAGTTTCACATAATATGTAATTTTTTCAGGGGTACAGTCTTCTTATGTTTTTCATTCACAATGAAAGAGTCTCCTGATCCTTACTAACGGCGTTTTTTGACTAGACTTTCTCTGTGCTTTCCAACTAATACTAACAAGAAGAAATCAGATCTATATGTCATTAAATAGTTCACAGGGCAAACTATATGCTACCCTATTGAAATCATGAAAAGGTGCGTTTTTCACCGAATGTTCTACTGGATATTCACAGTGTGAAGGAGCAGTACCCTTCAACGATCGAGTTGGTCCTCTCGGATTTTGTGGTTATTGTAGGAGGCACTATATATGGGGGTGGCCAACTTGACTGATACCCCGTTTTGATTCAGCCCTATTGTAAGGATAAAACCTATTATTGTCCGGGCCATATAAGACAGAATCCTATATAACCCTGGATTGGCCCGAACAACAACATGTTTTATCCTTACAATAGTGAAGAACAGCTACCAGCTTGTCATGTGATCTGCTAGCTTTTCTCTACTATTATAAGCATAAAACATGTTGTTGTTCGGGCCAATCCAGGGTTATATAGGATCCTCTCTTATATGGTCAGGACAATAATAGGTTTTATCCTTACAATAGGGCTGATTCAAAACGGGGTATCAGTCAAGTTGGCCACCCCCATATATACGCTTCGAAAAAAAAGTACTTTTGCTTTTTAACACATTTTGAATGTGTAAAGCAAGCAAAATTCAATCGATATTATTGCAATTTTACTTTCATAACTATCAGCAATTGATAAAATATTTTTTTTAAATTTTCTTATTCTAACCTGTTGAAGAAAATGTGAAGATGTTTCTAATCGATTGAGTCGTTCTAATATATTATTAACATCACGTTGAAGTTTTGTAAGTGCTGCTAGTATAGCACGTTGTGTTTCTTTATTATAATTATTATTTGGATGTCGTCCATTACCACCACCACCAGATGCAACAGATGAAAATGAATAACGAGCACCATCAGATGGATTATGATGACGATATGATGAATGTGTTGATAATCCGTGGAATTCATTCGAATGATTACCTAACATTATCAAATGAATAGTTTATTAAAAAAAAAAAAGAAGAAAAATCTTCTTACTTCCTCTATGAGAACGATGTACAGGAACGTTTGAACCATCTTGACCACCATATACATGTGGATGATATTTTGTTGTATTATTTGACGGCTGTTCAGGTGGAATGTTGGATGTTGATGGAGGTTCATTCGTCTAAAAATAGGAAAATAATTTATTTCGTTTCTATAATTGTAAATATAAATTTACTTGAAGATTTTCTTTTGATATCATTTCATCATTTGATACACTAGGATTGAGAGAAAGTCGATCCGGTGGATCGTCATAAAATTCTTCAGCATCTATATAATAATTTTAAAAAGGATGATTGATAAGTATTTTAAACAATATAAGTTTGTTCACGTTTTTTCTTTTTGAATCCTTAGAACGTATTTCTGATGAGTTAAAAAAAAACAATTCTTGTATTTTCACTGTTGCGATTTGAAACTAAAAGTTTGAAATCTTTATTTATATATATATTATCTTTTAGTTTAGAAGCTACCATACATTAATAGAGAGGATGTCTAATGAATCAACACTCGGATGCAGTGAAAACATCGGAAATATTTTCTAGCAGATCAAAAATCATATTTAAAAACTTTTCGATCAATTGTTAGATAAAAAACAGAAGATCAAACGAATAAAAAATGAGATTTACCAGATGAAGATATTGATGATGAAGACGATGAAGGTGATGAAGATGGTACTGGACCATTTCCAGATGAAACTATTGTTTGAATTGGACCATTCGTATGATTCATTGAATGTTCATCATAATCATCTACAGTAAACAATACATTTTTTTTTGTCTTCTTTATTTCAAATAATTTCGTTTAGTTTTTTTTTTTTTACTTTCACCGGTTCCATTAGAAAGAGATCCAAGTGTATTTGGTTTTTTTTTCTTAATATTTGTATGATGTGATTTTTTCTTTATTAATGAAATTGGTTGATTTTCTTCTGTCTGATCATCAACAAATTCATAAAATGGTCCAATTAATTGTGTAAATTCTAATACTTCATTTGTTTGTGGCATAGTTTCAAGAATCTTAAATGAATAATGAGAGAAAATTTTCTTTTCTTTTTTTTTGTTTTGTTTCTGAAATTTACTTTTCGAATTTCATCAATATAAGCTGTCATAGCTGATTCTTTAGTCATTGATCGACATCTATCCCATGCATCCCTAAATTAATAAGTAATTTTAAGAAAAAAAAAAAACGTTGAATTTTCGATTTACCATTTTGCTCGATTAATATAATTAAATAGAGATGGTCGAGGTTCTTTACATGGACCTGCTGTTGCTTGTTTATAAAGACCATAGAAAGTCAATTTCATTTCATTTGATGGTTGAAAAGAACCTAATTAAATAATTAAAATCAGTTTAATCAAATTTAGTTAACTTTGATTTTCTTTTCTTTTTTAAAATTACCATCAGAAGGTAATCGTTGAATAGCTTTGACAGCTGCATTAAATTTCTCTTGTAAGCTAGCTGTCGATGCCATGGAAGTCTTCAAAATTTGGAACGTAAATATATGAAAGAATGTTTATATCTGCAAAGACAAAACAAACAAACAAAAAAAGACAATTATTAGAAGTCGTATTATTAATGAAATTCAATTCAAAGCTCTTAATAAATATGTCTTCTTCATTGTAATTTGTAAACGCTTATTTATCTAGTATTGACTATCATTAAAACGATTTCGTAGGTGATAACATTATCAAGTAAACAATCAAATCATAATATATTAACCTCGAAGACAACAACAATATTACTAAGTGACATATATTATAGCCGAATAGAAAAAATAAATGAATAATCATCCGATCTAAAATGACATCTATCAATAATATTTTCATGGAGGTTTATGTTAAATAATGGCTACATGTTTTGTCAGTTATTGTTATTACTTCATTTCATTTCATTTTCTTCCCTTTTCACGATTTAGTGTTTCTTTTTCAATATGGTTAATCAAACATATGGTGGTACAACTAATATGAATTCATCATCATCTTCGGAACAAAATAAGAAAATTTTCCTCGGTGGTTTAAGTTATAAGTATAACTATATTTTTTTTTTTTAATAATCAAAAATAAAATTTTTATTTATTTATCTGTTTTTTGTTTTTGTTTTTGACAGTACTACTGATGAAACATTACGTGCATTTTGTTCTCGTTTTGGTAAAATGACAGATTGTGTTGTTATGCGAACTTCTGAAGGAAAATCACGAGGCTTTGGTTTTGTTACTTATGAAGGTAAAATTGAAATAAAAATAAAAAAAAAAAACAAATAAACTGAATACTTTAGATGCATCATCTGTCGAAGATTTTATGCGTTCTAGACCACATACAATTGATAATCGTCAAATAGATTCAAAACGAGCAAGTAAGATTCAACAAATTTTTTTTTTTTATGCATTTGAACAGTCATCATTTTAAAATTCAAATGTTGAGCACTACCTACCTACTATCAAGAAAATAGTAAAGTCAAAGAATATTTTCATATCATATATCAAAAGATAGAGCATCAATAGCTAGAAAAAAAGAAAAAGAGCTCTTTCAAATGTTTTATATCATTTATTAACTAGTGCCATATAATCGAACATGAATAGAAAAGATCATCGTTTATGAATTTATAATTGTTGATTTTTGCCAGTATATTTGCTGCTATGTTTCAAAATGAAATCATTTTAAACTAAATTTTATAACTTTTGTTTCTCTATAAAATGATAAAAGAAAGTTTACCTTCGGGCCGAAATGAGTTTCATATCTCTCTCTCTCATGCATAGTGATTTTTCAAGAGGTAAAAAAGGACATTTTTTGGCAGTTTTATTTCCACGACATACAATTGTAAGGCAAAAAATAAATATGACATTCACAATCAGCATTAAAAACTACATCGAGTCAAATGTATGTAAGAGAAATTTTATTCCTATAAAAACAAAAATGACTTCTAGTTTCCTACGGCTGTATTTTATTAAAGTTTTACTCCGTACTTCTCCAGGCGTGCGGAGATCGGTAGTTTTTTATACTGATTTTCGAATATCACATTTATTTTAACCAATTCTTAGTTTTCTTGATCTTCTCATGAATTTTTTGTTTTTAATTATAGTGCCACGTGAAGATCAAAATAGTACTGAATCACATTTAACAGTAAAAAAATTATTTGTTGCTGGTTTACGTGATGGTATTGATGAAGCATGTCTTCGACAATATTTTTCTCGTTTTGGAAATGTTACAGAAATTCTTGTTATGAATGATCGTGATGGTAAGTTTAAGAGAGAAAAAAAAAATAAATAAATACAAATAATTGTTTAGGTAAACCTCGTGGTTTTGCTTTTGTTTCATTTGATGATTATGATGCTGTTGATAAAGTTATTCTTGAAAAACCACATTTAGTTAATGGTCGAACTTTAGATGTTAAAAAAGCTGTACCAAAAGAAAAAATGCAAGAAGGATCAAATCCAACTGGAACTAATAGTGGTACATCATTTCCTAGAAATTATTCTGGTTCTGGTCAAAGAAATAATTTTAGTTCAATGCGAGATAATAATGAAGGTTGGGATAATCAAAATTATAATCAACCACCACCACCACCATCTTCATCATATGGTCAACAAGGATATAATTCAAATGGATCGGGTTTCAATCCATCAAATACAGGTGCTTTTCCTTCATTATATAATTCCATGGAACAAATTCAACCACCTCCACCACCACCTATGCCACAACAACCAATGATGAATTATAATTCGTATAATACTAATCCAAATATGCCGTTTAATAATAATGTAAATCAACCATCAACTCCAAACTTTATGCCACCATCTTATGGATCAAATCAACAACAAGGTTATGGTACAAATCCAAATAGTTTTAATAATATGAATAATCCATTTCAATTACCATCACAACAAACTAATAGTAGCAGTAATGTTGGTGGATATAATAGTGGTTCATCCATGCCAAATCTATTTGATAATTCAAATTCATATGGAGTCAGTTCACAAAATTATAATGATAATGGAATTAATTATAATGATATATCACAACAAGAATCACGTGGAGGTGGTTCCATGCGTGGTAAACGAGGGTAAGTGTTATATTATATTTTTCAAAATAAAAAAGGATGCGTAAGATTATTAGAGAATGATATAGAGTAGAGATTTCGATTAGTCGAGTTTATATGAGTCAATGTTTTCAAATCGGACTTGACTAAAGACCTGTATCAGAGTCAACTAAATATCTCACGAATAAATCAAATTTAACACAAAAACTTTAAGTTTTATTCTTTGGTATTTCCTGTATGAAATTGACTTATTTTCGAAACTCAATTGATGTTTCTTCATAGCCTACGCTCGTGAGAAGAAGTCGTAGTCGACCTTGATTCTGACTTTTCTTCACCTATGGAAAGCTTCATAGGGACGTAAATCAATTCTTGACAATAGATCAGTTTGTACAATGAAAATCATAGAATAAAATTTATTAGCCAAAAAACTTGTAGTATTCAACATAGTTTACACTGTTAGGCAATATAGAGAGCTGCGACCAATCCTAAACATAATTCTGATGCAGGGCTTTAGACTACTGTTCGACGGGATTTAGTTCACAATATAAATGAAAGTACATTTTCAGTCTTATTTTATTTTATAACTTCATTGACGTCATTCGATATTCTTAATGACTTATCATGGTCATTAAAATTCCTAATCGTAGATTAACTATTTTTGTATGTTTTCTTTTTAAAATATAGTCGAGGAGGTGGTCCTTCTGGAAATAATAATTCGCCAAATTTTAGCAATCGTTCAGCACCATATCCAAAACGTGGTAATAGTCGTGGTGGTGGTGGTGGTGTATCAAATTATGGTGGCCGTGGTCGAGGTCGTGGCCAATAAAAAATAAGGAAACATGCAAGTGTGGTATGTTTTTAAAGAGAACTCGAAAAAAAAAACTACAAATAAATGACATCGATATTGAGACTGTGTGTGTGTGCGCGTTTAACAAAGACTAAAAGAATTTTTTTTCCATATTTTTATGTTGTAGCTGTGGAATATTCATTCTTTTGTTTTCTTTCATCATCATTGATTTAAACTAAGATGAAATTAACATTAAAAACTAGAAGTTTTTTTTTTTCAAATTAAACATAAGAGAGAGTGTGTGTGTGTGTAATAAGTTAAATATTTTTTTTTTTGAAACATAATTAGACGATCCACAATTAGAATTAAGATAATATCGAATTCAAGAATGAAATAAAGTCTTGTTTTGGTTATGGTTCTTTTTATTTTTCATGTTTTACATCAGTTGTGTAAGTCACCATATATATTTTTCTTTTTCAATATGCATATGAATTCAATATATTCTTATTTAAGATGTAAGTATAGAATATAATAAGATATAATATAGTTGATTAGTAAAGAAAAATTTAGAATATAGAAAAGTTTATATCTTTTTTTTTGTTTTTTTAGAATTATTATACAAACAATTAGAGAAAGATAATAAGTTCAAGTATAAGGATTTTGATTAGATATTCAAAATGATTAAACATACGAAATAGAATTCTTTGTTGTTTTGTTTTTAATCTAAGTTAAAATTTATTGAGTTTGGATTACAAAATTTAATTGATATGATTGGAAGTCTAGTCTTAGAATATTGGATTCGATGGTTTCTATCGAATAGAGTGGCATGAACAATTTATACAAGAAAAAAAATAGTGGTTGAAAATACATCTAATTTTTCAAAGTTATATTCGCGACTATTTTATTGAGTATGAATTCAGAACTATTGGTATCGGAAATAAAAACATCAGTATGTAATCATTAATTCTTATTGGAACATTAGTTCCTATATATATAAGGTATTTTGAAAATATCTTTATTTCTAATCCGTTATGAATATATATTTTTTTATTCTATTAGCCAAAAATTTCATCATTGCCTCCTCGTGATATATATATACGTGGTTGGGGCTATTAGATAGTCTAGCATCTACATAAAACTATATTCAAAGCGCACAGGCGAATCAGCAGTATACAATTATATGTCAAACATCTGTTAATGGGTTATTGTTATATATACAGAGTAAGCAATTTGGTATAAAAAGAAAATATATACTTCTAGGTAAGTGTGCTTAGTTTATATAAGAACAGACAGATAAAAAGAAGACTAAGTAAATTACATTGTAAGAATATTTTATTCTAATATAGTTTTTATATGATTGAATTAATTCATTATGTTTTATTTATTTAGAATGAATTCAATTATTGATATGAAGATCAAATGGAAATCAAAAACGTTATGTAAATATCTAATAATGAACAAATATGATTTGATGATTATACTTTTTTTATTTTTTTTCTAGATTTCAATCTGATCATATGACATAAAATAGTAAATTTAAAAGTAAGAGAAAAAAATAAATTGAGAAGTTTAGGAAAAATTAAATTTATTGCATTTTTAATTTTATACTAGAAATAAATCGATTAAAATATTCGTACAGCTTAAAAAAGATATGTAAACATAAAAGTGAAACGAGATAAATTTAAGTAGAATTCAATGAAAAGAATTATTTGTTTCATATTCATCCGTAAAAAACTTTTTTAATTAAATAGTAAAATATTGTATATGAAGTTTCTTAAAAATGACTGATTATGTTCGACAAGTTACTTGTAATGATAAAATTCCCGTTAATCGAATTCTACCAAAACAATCATAAATACGTAAGATCATGTTAAATATCAAGATTTCTACTTTTGCTTGTAATATAGAAATGTCAATGCCCAGCAGAAAAATATGTTGCTATCACGATAGTATGCAAAAATAATATTTCGATTTTCACTAAACCCCTCCCCGTAATAGAAGCCCCTCCCATATTAGAAGCCCCCTTTAAAGGATCTATCCAGCAAAATTTTCAGTTTTTTTTCCAGCAAAATCCGGCCAAAGTTTGCAAGGCCTAATAGAAGCCCCGGGGGGCTTCTAATATGGGAGGGGGTTTATTGTACCCCGTACTGAACTAGAACTATTGACAGATCAATGACTCCGATGTTCATACTTTTCTGACCTATGTAAATTCATACAGTTTGAAAATGTCCTTCAAAGTAATAACAATAACTGCCGTTGTGATAAACATATTTGCTTTTAGCTCTTAAACAGTTAGATAATTTGTATAAGTAAATAATAGTTTATTTACATGGATAACATGCTTAAAGCAGATGAATATAATAGAATTCGTTATTGTAACGATGAAGAAGTATGGTATCGATCATCGATTCATTATCTATTAATTGTTTTCGGTTTATTTAACCATCTATACATGAAAAGACCTAAAGAAACATAGTGCTGATTACAAGTAACCTTATGACGAAAGAAAGCAATTAAAGCGAAGCACAAATATACAATAATGAGCACAGATAATATGCGTCGCGAGTGATAATTTGCATAACTGAATCATCTTGGTATGCATAAATCATTTACAAACTTGCAGCTGTGAAAGAAAAAGCTCAAACTTGATACTAATTCTCGAAAAGAACAAACACGTTACCATTCGACCCTGCCAAACTATTATAGTTATCTAATGTAATTGAAATTTAAACACTATAAATTGTGTAATAGTTTTAGTTCGATTAAATCGATTATTATTCATTTTAAAAAGTATTGTCTTAGATTTTGATCTTCTCTTACTAAGTTTTGATTTATTTTCTTTTTTTTTTTACATTAGATATACAATGAACTTTGTTTAGAATAATTTATGAATACAATATCAATATAAAATGTCCGATATTATCAAAAAATTTCTATATACATAGAAAAAAAATGAACGTTTAGAAAAAAAAGTATATTTATTAACAAAAACATAACAAGAAACAAAAAGTAACTTGAACACAAAAAAGAATTGAAAATTATTATTCAAACAAGTAAAATATTTAGCAAATCATATACGAATTCTTAAAATACAAGTACATGGATTAACCAATTGTAAATAGAAAAACTTCTTTTTTTTTTTTGTTATATGAAACTATGGTCAGATTTTACTCTGTGCTCGATATTTTTTTTTTGATACAAATATGTCTTTTGTCTATATTTAAATGATGTTTTTTTTTTCTCAATAAAACTTTTGTTATGTTTCAATTTCTTTTATTTTAAGAGATTAAAATATCTTTCGAATCGTTTAGAAAAAATTCTTTGATGAAGGAACTATGAATATCTTTTCATTTCCTGGAAACATTCAGAAATCATACGAGTTTATAGAACAAGAACATCTGAAAAGTACCATACTGTAGAAGAACATCTTGAAGATCTATCTGTGAGAGAAGTTCTTTAACTGATAAACCGTTCTTCAGTCAAGACTTTACGCATTATATAGATGCAACTAAATGAATGCTACAGTAACAGAAAAATTGAGTTAATAATTGACTTTAGCATAACTCCTACAGTGACGTAATCCGAAAGTTTGCACTAGGAATTGCTAGCAGGGTTCATCTTTCTCTAATTTCTTTTGAAACTTCAATGACACAGATTCCGGATCTATTATTTCAATTGTATTCTGAAAATCGTAATTCATCTTCTTTCTTCGCGTGGTTAGATCCATTACTTCTGTACTATTTTTCTTAGACCTCCGATAAATGTTAACATCTAGTATCGATTGCTATCGTAATGGCCTTGTTATCTTTATGGATATTCTCTCTCTCTCTCTCTCTTCTAGAACATTTTTGTTGTGTCGATCGTATATGTATAAATATATATATATATATGTATATATTGTCTCTGAGTTCCTCAAACTTATTAATGCTTCCAATAGTAACTCTGTTCTTAAGGAGATAAATAAATAAAAGATATTATTTTAAAATCTTTTTGATCAGAATTTTAACTATTTAATATATTTATAAAAAATTTTAGATAACGATAATGTCAACTGTTGTAATTACTGGTCTTGATAGTCGTACAAGTGTTGATATTGTTGAAAATTTTTGTCAAAGTTATGGTCGAATACTTAATTGTTATATAAAATCCAATCAATGTACAGTAACATTTGCAGACAAAAATAATGCTGAAGAATTTATTCGTGAATCACCACATCGAATTGATTCAAATAGTTTTGTTAATGCAACATGGAAAACAACATTCAATAGAAATTCTTCTCATAATCAACGTTTAACAACAACAACAACAACAACAACGAATTCAAATAGTAATTGTCGTTTAACAATACGTGGTACATGTGAACAATTAGAAGAAAAAAATCTTATTCGATATTTTTCACATTATGGACGTGTACGAATGTGTTTATCAAATCCATCACAAGGTTTAGCTACGATAACTTTCGATGATCGAATAAGTTATGAACGTGCATTAAAAGAATCAAGACATTTTCTTAATGGACGTTCATTAATTGTTGAAACTTATACATCAATTGATGAATTACAATCAAATAAACGTATGAAATTATCTGATCCGAGTGAATCAACATCATCTTTATTAATATCACAATTAGAACATGAAAAAGAACAATCATTAAATGAACGAATACATCTTGAAAATCAATATCAAGAACGTATTAAATTATATGAATATGAAAAATTACAATGGAATGAATATATAACAAAACAACAAAATGAATTTAATCAACAAATTGGACATTATCAATATTTACTTAAACAAAGTTTAGATGAAATAATAAATAAAGATAAACAAATAGAACAATTAAAAAAAGAAAATAAAGATATTGAGTATGATTTAAAAACAAAAACATTTATTTAATTTAAGAAAAATTTTATTATTTTTTTTTTCTATTTAGTGATCTTCTTCGTCAAAGTGTACATGATAATGAACAACAACAAATTCATATAAGAAAACGTGAAGAAATACATAATCAAACAAAAAGAAAATATGAAGAACTTTATAAAGCTTACATGAAATTAAAAGATAATTGGTAAGAATTTCTATTTATAATAGAATTTAATAAAAAGAAAAAAATGATTTTCTATTAGTGCTATTCAACGAAATATAGAAAAAGATTCAATTAGTATAAAAAATCCAACATCTAGTACAAATTTAACTATTAATAAACCCAGATCAACTATAGATGATGTTAGAAAAAAGTAAGCAACTATTCAAAACTGAAAATATACAGATCAATTTGTTACTATGAAACACGATCTAAAATAACTGTCGAAATATATATATAGGATAGAAATAATTTATGATTTCCTTTCGGATCGTAACAGACGACTGTCAAAGATCGTCAATCAATAATATCTCGTTCTAATATATGTATTATCATCGACATCAAAAGATAAGGTAGATCAATGTTTTTTTCTTTTTTGAATAACTAATGATAAGAACATCATAGAGACTTGCGGTTTTCATCGTTCAAGAGAAAAGACTCGGAGATCATATTTCTTTCGATTTGAACTTATGACATGTTCTCTTTCAATCTACATAAGGCTTTAACTGAGACCTCTGATTTTAGCAAATTGAACTGTGATCACTTGGAAAAATGGCTAGGCAGAAATAATTCCTCATGCTGAGTCGAATAATAATGTTTATTATTAGGTTCGTATTGAGAGAACGGTGTCAGATCAATTCGAACCGAAAAACAAACTACGCTCATTCGGCTCAACATAATGAATCACACCTAGTATAACTACTTTTGCAGATGATCATATATCAATAGGCTGAAATTGGGAGTTTCAAGAAAAGTCTTATAACTCTCCAACGGAACAAACTATAAATGTTGATCTTGTGCAGATCGAAAGGAAAATAGGTTCGAAATGCTACTTTCAAAAATCTCCACCAAGAACTAACCTGATAATTCATCAATTGCTAACCAATCAAAATTCGATATATTTCAATGTTTTCTAGTCTTCTCTCTTACATGGCAAAAAATCGCAGGTTTCTATGATGTTCCTATTGAGAGTTATTCAAAAAAAAAACATTAGCTTATATGATCTTTTGGTGTTGATAATACTTTCTTATTGCATTTCTGAAGGATGTTAAAGAAGTGCATCCCAAAATAGATAAAATAAATAAAACAATCTTGTTATGATTAGCAAGAATAACTACATCGCATTTCATATTTTAATCCCGTATGAATTGCATTAACAACTTCTATATCAAGAGCTACTATTAGTATATAGATGCTTTGAATAATCATTGAATTCCTATTCGAGATCTGTAAGATTAGCGGGTAGGTGTTTTTGTTTATTTTGCTCTAGAGAAAAAAAGTTTCATGCAACTGAAAGTGTACAACATATATTATTTATCTTTCAGCTGGTTATCACATTTCTCTCTATCTTGGTTAGAACCATTTTGACTCATTGCTTGGTATGTCAAGAAAAAAAAACATGTTGTAATGTTGATATTCTAGCATGAATATTTTCTTCCTATGAGAACAGATTTACAAGAAAATTAATTAGATTTTCTTTTGAACTTTGTTGAAATGTACGCACTACTTGAGAATTTAATATCCTAAGAAGAATAAGATTAGAAAAATTCTTAAAAGGATTGCGCTCATAAATCTACATGAAATCTTTCAAGCCTATTTTTAATCTTATAGAGACTTTCGTGTGAGCTCAAACGGCAAGTGATAAGTTCGGCTAGTATTCTCGTCAGTAGATTCTACGTAATGACAAAAGTTTTATATTGAACAAATTTTTGACCATCTGGATAAGTTCGCTCGTCAGGTAGCATTAATTTTGAATGTAAACATCAATAGATAGCGCCACTTGAATAAATTATATAATGAAACTGTATGTAAAATTAATTATCAAGAAATTAATTGGTTCTAATGTAATTCAATGATAGCGAAAAGAATCGACAAGCAGATGTCGTTATGTTTTTTGAAAATTTTCTCAATCTTTGTCTGTCTTACAATACTCTTTATTTAAAGCAAAAATAAACTTAATCAAAGATAAAGAACTCGTTATATCTTATTATGAATTAAGAAATAAATTTTCAGTACCCATCGGTAATAAATCAAATATTTTTAAAAGAAAAAAATAAATAAATTATTGATTATGAAACTAATTTGAACAAAAAAGGTGAATCATAATTTTAATCACATCATCAATGATTGTATTTAAATTTGATTATGTAGAATCTCGACATGATGTTTGTAACCTACCTGATTAACACTAACAAGAATGCAGAAAGTAATAAAACTCACATTTCGCTCTATTCTTTATTAACATTTTATTATATTGAATGATTTTCGTTGGTTCCGATCATGTGTTCACAATGCATAAACCCCCTCCCATATTAGAAGCCCCCCGGGGCTTCTATTAGGCCTTGCAAACTTTGGCCGGATTTTGCTGGAAGAAAAACTGAAAATTTTGCTGGAGAGATCCTTTAANGAGGAAGGAAAGTAAACTACATCGTTTAAACGCATTAACATGGAAAGAAGTAGTGTTTTATATGGATAAAACGTGTCGTAGCGGACGCGTTTTGGTTGATATGTAGTCATTTTTACCGATAAAATGATGCGTTTGAACGCGTTTTAAAACCTGCGTTTAACTTCTAGCGAAAACATGTGAACATAAAAATAAACGCGTTGGAACGCAAACTTTTAAAAAAATTTTTTTCGTGGGCAATTATACAATTTTTAGTATGTTACAAGCCTCTCAATATAAAATTGATTTTCCAACATTCACAAATCAAATCATACAGAAACAACGTCCAGAAACAAGAATAGCAAAAAGTAAGCAATATTTGAATATTCTGTTTAATAAAATATCTACATATTTGTTTTTGTATATTCACTACTAGCATGGAATGAAGAAAAGTAAGCAACATTAATTTATTTGTAATTTAACTTATTCTTCTTTGTATTTTACACAGACTATCAATCACTCATATAGAAGATTTATCTAACGAAGTTTTCTGTGATATATTTGAATATCTCGACGGTTCCCTGGACGAGTAATCCATGTCCCGGATCCCGTTGGATTCTATCGGAAACCTCGCTTAATCCGATAAATTCCGACAGGATCCCTGTCGGAATCCAGTGGGAAGTTGTCGGATGTCGGATCCAACGATTTCCGACAGTTGTATCCGATAGTCGGAAAATGTCGGATACTCTTGGAATCCCTTAGAAACCTGGGTGTGGGCGTGGGTGTGGGTGAAGGTAAACAACAAACAATTACACCCACACCCCTATTAGATATGGAGCATATAGAATTATTTGTTTTTTGTTTAAAAGAAAAAGATTGCATCATTTCATTCAAAGATTCTTTATAAAGTAATGTTTAGAGATTGAGGATTCCGAATATTACAGAATTTAATTCAGCATATTGTGAATTAAAAAACAGCAGAAATACTTGATATTCTTATTCATAAATAGTCCCATCAAAGAAAAAACTTGAATTCATGGCTTTTTCTTCTATTACAAAGATTTTAGTATTTGTATTATTTGATGATGAAATAAAAGTATCATCGATATCAAGATCTGAAATATGTTATCATCATACAAGTGAACAATTACTTCAATTTCTAACAGGGGTGTGTGGGTGTGGGTGCGGATGTGGGAGTGTGGGTGTGAGTGTGAGTGTGGATGTTGTTCATTTCTTAACCCACATCCACACTCACCCACACCTACACCCACACCCACCCACACTCACACCCACACCCACACCCATACCCACACCCCACCCACACCCACACCACCACCCACACCCACACATCCACACCCACACCCACACCCACACCCACACCCACACCCACCCACACCCACACCCCTTCTTTTACAACATGAATAAAATCGATCGACAGGAATGAATTTCAATCCTGACATGTCAAAATTATTTACGTTTAAACAATGTGTCACTTCCTCGGTAAAGAAGAATAAAAAACGACATTTTTTATCACAACTGACGAATCATTATGGTTGTGGTATAGATGAGAATGGATACTTAAGATAAGTAAGTCTATTCAAAGCAGCAGAGAAAGTGTCATGGATACAGTAGTACACTGAAAATATAACTATTTCATTTACAAACAAATTAAAAAACTCTTTTTGAAATTTCTTTTCAAAATATGAACAAAATACATAGATCCTATGCTTTTTTTTTGTACTCTTTGTTTTTTCTATTCATTCGAATCCAGGAACATGTCACGAGAAGCAAAAATGATTTTCTTTCTAAACTATGAGTAATGTGAAATTCAATTGGAAATTGCTATTTTTTCCTGTGACTTCTGTGTTTTGAGAAATTAGTGTAGTCACAAGCATTCATGAACCTTATATTATTTGTGATTAGTCCAGAGAATTTGAACTATTGTTATTTTTTGTTGATCCTATTGTGCAATTCCAATCTTCTTCGTTACGTTTCTTGTTATTTGAATTTTCGATTCAATCATCATTATGCTTTTACTTGTGACTGAACAAGTGATCGACCCACATCCACACCCAAGATAGTAAAGTTCTTGCCAATGGATGAGACGGTCTTATGTGCGCTCAATATTGTAATTTTCAGGTGAAGCTAACAGTTTATTTTCAAATATCGTTTTGTTTTCTTTTCAAGCCGATCTAATTTGCTTGTTTGTTCTAGAATAATCTTTATTTCTTTTTTTATCATGCATTTAATATCACAGAACAATATTCGATATCGATCATTGGTATTAAGAATACATTTTATATGTTGGCATTTTGTACGACGTCTCTTAGTTGTAAGATTTTTTCTCGGACTTCTCATTGGAATTCTTGTGACAATAAATTTTTATCAATCTCAATCATCGACTGATAAACTTAAGTTTCGTCCAGATCAATTGAATTTCGAATATGACAAAAAAAGACTTGCATTCAATAATATAAATCAAACTTCATCTTCAATATGGAACGATTCTTGGGATGGGTATGAACTATTAGAAATAAAAAATTTACAAGAAATCGTTCATTATTTTTTTTTTGTTTAGTATACGCCATGAAAGTCAATGGTTACGTCATCTTTATTTAATTCGTCATGGCCAATATTTTGATCATGCCATAAACGAAGAAGATAAGAAATTAACATCACTTGGTAAAGAACAATTAGAATATACTGGCAAACGTTTAAAGCAAATGAATATAAAATTCGATCGTCTTATTCATTCTGGTATGGTTCGCGCATTTGAAAGTGCATCCATAATTAATCAACAATTCGATCACCAATTTGAATTAATCGAAGATCAAAATCTGGCAGAAGGTTTACCTGTTGCGCCGATTCCTTATGCTGGTATATCTCAACATGATGTTGATGTAAGATTTTTAAAAAGAATCAATCTTACTTTTATCTAATGAGAAGAACATATTCATTTTAGGCGTATGGACATAAATTAAGAATAGATAAAGCTTTCGAAACATATTTTCATCGAGCACGAAATGATCAATATAAAGAAACTCATGATATTATCGTATTTCATGCTAATGTTTTACGTTATTTTATTTGCAAGTAAGATGTAGTAAATATGTCAGATTAATTTTTTCTAGATTGAGAAGATAAAAAAGGGAAAAATAAAAATATGTGCGATTCTCGTTAGATCTTCATTTGGTAATATGAAAGAGGAAAACAGTATTTAGCTAGTCATTCACGGGATATGTTGACTTATTTGCTTGTGTAGTAAGAAAAAATTGTCATATTAAAGCAAAATAGAATAATATATAAATATCTCGGTTTATTGTCTTGAATAATGAGCAAATCAAAAGCAAAAAACAGGATATGAATTTTGCTAGATTTTATTATAACTATCCGAACTCGAAGAGAGTTTTGAAAATAAAACGAGATCAACTATTTCAGAAATAACAAAGGAAATGATGAGAGTTCTTATGAAAGCCTAGTTTTTTTTTCGAACAGGTTGAATCATTAAACTTTTACTTATCTGTTCTACATTCTATTCTCTTTGAAAACAAACCAAATCCGCGGGAATCGATTGTCTACACTGACTCCTGTAGATAGCCAAAATATCACGGTAAACACGAGATTTGATTTGAATATTACTTTCAAATTGATAAAAAGAATCAGATTCTAAGTATGATTTATCAATATTTAGATAAAGACAGCAACAAAATTCAATAGATACTTTTACTTCCAAGTCATTTATCGGTTTGGCTTATACTAAATGATTAGTTGTTGAAACAAAAACTTAAAATGATGCTAGCTGTCTTTGTGTGTTCCATAAAATCTCATCTTGATAAGCAGCATTAGGTCGATCAAGAAATTCAAAAATCGTCCTCTACTGTCTGATGTTCTGGAGACCGGCCAAGCAGGATAAAAATTCTAATCATTTCCTATGAGCGACTTGTCGTCTCTCTATTAGATTCTCATTCTAAGACTTGAACAAAAGGATTGATAATGCTCATAACTTTCTACTTATTGTTTTACAAAAATTTAGGATTATGCAATTTCCAGTTGAAGCCTGGTTAAGAATAGTATTAAATCATGGTTCAATAACAAAAATCATTATTCTTGGTAATGGAGATGTTCTTTTGATCGGTGTCGGTGATAGCGGTTTTATGCCGACAAATAAGCTTACATTCTGATACTTCATTAAGATCATTTCAATGACTATTATCATCTTTTCAAGTTTCTTGGAAATTTGATAATTTATTCTTGTTGAAAGAAGAATTATTCAAGAAAAAAAAAGAACACATGTATGAGAGATAACTTGTGCCTACAACATCTAGCTCATAAAATTCCATTTAAATAGATAATTTTATATTTCTGTTGTCAACAGTTTAATTGTCTCATATCGGATTCACTCCATGCTAATAAATAGTATTATCTCTCGAACTTATTGTTTATCGTCGTAAGAAGAAAACATTCTAGATATTTTGAGTTAACAAATTATTTCTTAAAACATGTACTTTTTATAATTATTGATAACTATTTTCATACTCATAAAATTAGAACCTTCATCTTCAATAAATATTTGAAACAACATGTGTTTGAATGATACTCAAATAGAACGGATTTTTAAATTCTGAAACTTCAGACTATGGATATATATCATGTCTTAACACACGTTCTCACATTTAGATTCACATCTAGTCACGAGAAGAGATTCTCAAACAAAGTTTCGTCTCACTCTGTATGAAAAAGAATAAAGTGTTGAATAGGGACTTCAGTTAGGCTGGCGTCAACTCTACTTCATATGATCGCAAGAAGTCTTTCTTTTGTTATTTTTTGTTGGAAATTTTGTTTTCTTTTGTACTGATTTGTCAATAAAGCATTCTTTCCAAGAAGTACGAGTAGCTGCATTACAGCAAAAAGGAGAAGGAGAGTATACGAAAAAAGAATTTTTCTTTGTTTACATTATTACATATAACTCAGATGGAAAGAAAGTACGACACATATAAATTGCGCAGATTTTCGGCAACTGTAGTCATTTTGTAAATTGCTTCGAGGGAGAGAAAAGCTTCCGACAATCAAAAGTTTGACGGGGTAAGTTGCACATTGAAAGAGTGCATTTGTTATTGGAAATAGATCATCGATTTGATGTAGAAAAGATGGCCGAGGAAGTTCAACAAGGAGATGGTCCATGTGAAAAATGCAGTTGTGGACGGTGGTGATGTTGGCAACCGTGAAACATCGAATGTGGTGGTTGCGGACATTCTTTCAGCGATCATAGAGGCTGATAATGGCTCGATGGATTGATTCGCAATCACTGAGGATTTATCCATCTTTTACTCCAAGTTAAGTCTGATATTTCACATTTTTTATTTTTCTGCGATTGCGTGCATATTTGTCCTATTTTCTAAATAAAGAATTCTCATTTTACCGTTCTAAGCTTATCATAACTTGTTTCGACTTTTCCCAAAGCACATGAAAGATTCCTATCAACTTCATTCTTGGAGGTATAACAGTAGATGTGAACCGAGGACAAATCAGTTATAGTTTGTTATCCAACATGGTCAATCGGTACTGAATTTCACAGAACAGACATTATATTTACAAATGCTTGCATTGAGAAGAGAACGATTTAACTGCTAATCACTGACTGAGTTCAGATTTTGATCATAACTAGAAAGTGTGTGAGTGCACGAGTTGTGTTTCTATTCACCATTATTATTCACACCCACACCCACTCACAAAATCATGCTTTGAAAGTGAATTATTATGATATCATGATAGTGCAGGTTGAAAAATCAGAAAAAAAAACAAAAGTTTCATTCATTAAATATTGTCGAGGCAAAAATTATGGAAAACGCGCACTGTGCTATTATAATAGTTAGTTACCGCAAAATTCGGTCTACCATTACTATTAAAGTCGCTTGTAACAATGGAACTTGGATTACCGTTAGCTGGGAGAGTCTCATAGGCAGTAAAACTTTCTTGGCCATTACCAAGTAGTATGGTCAAGGTATTATCGCCGAAATTTGCAACGACGACATCCAGCTTACCATCAAGATTGAAATCGCTGACAAACAACTGATTGTGGATTTCTGTCTGTTGAAAAGCTTTTTTGTTCAATAGTATCATTTACACTATTTCCAAGTAGTATAGTCACAGTATTATCATCAAAGTTTGTGACAACAATATCTGGCTTACCATCAATGTTAAAATCACTGATAGCAACTGATCGTGGAGTTGTACCAACTGGAAAGCTTGCCTCTCCAATAGTGTCGTTTATATCATTCCCCAGTATTACAGTCACAGTATTGTCACCAGAATTTGTCACGACAATATCCAGATTATCATCATGGTTAAAATCAGTAACAGCAACTGCTTGTGGATTTACACCTGCTGGAAAGTCTATTCGTCCAGATATGTCGTTCATGCTTCCAAATAGAACAATCACGGTATTACTACCGGAGTTCGCGACGATACAATCTAATTTATCACTACGATTACAATCGCCAATAGCAACGGAGATTGATAGAGAATCAACAAGAAAAGAGTATGATATAAATGTCAGCTGACAAAATGTGGCTAAGAAGACGTAAAGCAATAGAATAAATACCAGACACATATAAAACTTCTTTCTAATATGATAAGAAGTCTACCTACTGAAAATGTGGATGTGACTGAGTACATATCTCTCATGTTAATCATACTGACTCATACTCAATAATCAATCTGTAAATACTGAATAAAATTTCGATTACAATTCAGATTAGCTTCACCTTTTGGGGACGGTGGTACAAGGATTGTACCACCTATGGTTCCAATATGAAAAATGTTTGTTCCTCATTAAACTATAATAACTTGTACAGTAACAGGTCGTTCCAGCTGCTGTCACATGCATATCTTTTCTCTGTTTCTTCCTATCATATAGATAATCTTCAAATCTTCTATTTCCTTTCTATTTCATACACCGACATCATAATCACTTCCTCTCTGATCTTGGTACATTTTCATAAGGCTTTTATGTAATCATTTTGAGCGAAATACAATAATTTGATGAGAAAGACATTTTCCAATCAGAAATTAATTCCGTCCTCAAAGGGTTAAACTATTTTGTTTCTCGTATAATGATGAGTTTGAATAAGTTTTCTTTTACCTGATTCACAGAAATTCACGATTGACAATGGTAAACATATTGTTTGTGGTGCACAACACGAGTTCACAATACATATAGAAGTATTTGATGCACAACGATAAGTAATACTATCACATGGTTCCAAAATCGAACATATACTAGTAGGTGCACAATAAGTCATATTATCGATTGTACGATAATTGAAGCAAGGTGTGAATGATAAACGACAGCTGTCGTTCGCATTCGAGGGTACATAACATTGTTGTAAAGAACAATTTAATCTTGGTTGCCATGTAGAATGAGGTGACGAAGACAGAGTAAATTCGACAGTAGTATCCGTTGCATTGCAGTAGTAATTAGATATTGTTGTATTTTCACCAAAGTATTGATTATGAAATGAATGAATAAAATGAGAAGAAATAAATCATCAAACCGTGTATATGTGAGAACGAAGCAACAAAAACGAGTATCATGACAAATTGAATCATTTCAACAAAAGTAATGGATGCAATACAAAAATAAATTTACGTTTTTTCGAATTTCACAAAAAAATATATATTCTACAAATGTTTACCGGTCTGAAGAAAATCAAAAAAAAAAGATTTCTAATTGATATTTATTCATTTCGTTAAGGTCGAATAAAACATATACTGCTGAGTATGAATGAAAGAGTACATCTATAGCTAATTCACGATCAAGACGATCGAATTGCGTTATTATACATTTGATACTTTTGTCAAATGAATGTAACATAGTAG